ATCTCAGTCCAAACAAGATTGTTTTTGTTTTTAAAACATGTTATCTCTTCAGCAAAGGTGCCCCCCCCCCCCCCCGTCATTATTGTCTCTTCCTCCTCAGGCTCCAGCAGGCACATCTTCCCTGGGTCACAGCATCAGATAAAAAGTAGCTTCAGGGAGCTACAGAGTTGGCTCAGCGGTTAAGAGTACTGGGTGTTCTTCCAGAGGACCTGGGTTTAATTCCAGCGCCCACATGACAGCTCATAACTGCCTGTTGCTCCGTACATACAGACAAAAGATGAATGCACATGAAATAAAAAAAAATATTTTTTAAACAAGTAGCTTAGTCCAGTCCTCCAGAGAAATTCTCTGCTGGCCAACTGAAGGTTATCTAATAGTCTAAGAGTTAAAATACCACACGTCTGTCACTCAAGGACACTGACGTGTGAGAAGGCCATCCTGGGACAGTGTGGCTGCCCAGCCCCAAAGGTGCGTCTAGAGGAGAAACAATGGAGGGGACCCAAAGTCTGAGTTGTTCACAAAAATTCATGTAATGATTCATGTTATTATTCCATTCTGTGCCCCATTACTCAACTGGTATATATTCGTTGCATGGATCCAACACAGGCATCGGCTATAAAATCGATGTCTGTCAATAATGGTGCTCCATGGTTGTAACTCACAGCATGAGAGTTCAAAATACCAAGCTTAATGAAATGAGGTGACCATTTTTGATGTAGTTTTGAAGATCATATTATAAAACCATTGTGAGAATGGAAAGATCCATGGAAATGAAAGAATAACTAACAATGAATTGCTGCAGAGCTTCCCTTCTCTCTTGGTTAATTCCTAGCGAACAAAGATCATAATTGCATACAGACTCTGTGTCACAGTTTTTATCAGCTTGGCACAAACCTAGATATACCTGAGAAGAGGGAATCTCAATTGAGGAATTGCTTTCAACATTGGTTTGTGGGACTTTTTCTTTTTTCTTTTCTTTTCTTTTCCTTCCTTTTCTTTTCTCCTCCCCTCCCTCCCTTCCTCTTTCCCTCCCTCCCTCCATTTCTTTCTTTTCTTTTTCTTTTTTTTTTTTTTTTTGGTTGAAGGGACATGTTTTTGCTTGTGTACTTTGGGGGCCTTCCCTGGTCCTCTCTCGGGAGCCCGGGCTGGCCTCAAACTCACAGAGATCCGCCTGCCTCTGCCTCCTGAGTGCTTGGATTAAAGGCGTGCGCCTTTAAGACAAGCTTTCTCTACATAGCCCTAGCTGTCCTGGAACTAACTATGCAGAGCAGACTGGTCCCAAACTCAGAGATCTCTGCCTTCCTCTGCCCCTGAGTTCTGGGCTCAAAGCCATGCAGTACCATGCCCAGCTGTGGGGCACACTGGGCATTCTTGAATGCTGATTGACATGTGAGGGCCCAGCCCACTCTGGGTGGTGCCATCTTGATCCCAGCACTCAAGAGGCAGAGGCAGGTGGATCTCTGTGAGTTCAAGGCCAGCCTGGTCTACAGAGTTCCAGGACAGTCAGGGCTACACAGAGAAACCCTATTGCAAAATACAAAAACTAAAGATCGGTATTTATTTAATTGGCCTGCCTTCAGACCCTCTGTAGCATTTTTCAACATTGTTATAGAAATACATAATACAAAAGTAAAAGAAAGAAAAGTGAGGACAAAGGAACATTTCCAACCATCCCAGAAAAAAGCCATCCCAGCCATCCCAGAAAAAAGCCAGCAGCCTCTACTGAAAAGGATTTCCCAGGCTCTTAAGTTTGGTCTTTAGAATCACCCTCCTCTTGTGTTTCTGCTGCCTTTGTCATGATGACCACTGACAGATGGTCCAGACCCAGCTAGGAGGAGGCAGTGTTTAAAGGGGGTAGGGGGCGCTCATGATGTGATCAAGGACATATAACTCTTCCCAGGGCTGGCCTGGACTCCAGTACCCATGGGATTCTAAGGGGGCTTTGCTGTGTCCCTGGAGCTCTGAGGTAGTCGAAGGACAGGTGGTTTAGGCTATTGGGCTGAAACAGCTGGGGTTTCAGCAAGATTAGCTCAGAGCTGTGACCTTCTTAAACCTGAGTTATGTACCTGCTTTCACAGTGAACAGGCTGCCTAGACTTGGGGACCTTCCTCACTTAACACATTATATGTACATATGTCAGGCCAAGGAGGGGTCAGGAGAGTTGTGGAGGTTGAATAGAAGGACTCTTTTTGTTTGTTTTTTGAGACAGGGTTTCTCTGTGTAACTTTGGAGCTTGTCCTATAACTTGCTCTGGAGACCAGGCTGGCCTTGAACTCACAGAGATCCACCTACCTCTGCCTCCCTAGTCCTGGGATTATAGGTGTGCACCACCAACGCCTGGCAAATAGAAGGACTCTTGTTTGTATTCATTCATCGTCCCACCTGCTCCAGAGAGCTCATACAGCCTGGCTGAGGGGCCTGAAGGTGTTCTGCTGACAGCAGGGATCCCAAGGGAACTCAGTGCGTAACTGTGGCCACCCTGGACGCTTACAGGAAAACCAGGCCACACCTTGTTGGGGTCTCAACTCCCCCAGCCACACTTTGCAGTGACATAGGACAGCTGGAATATACTGAGCACTTCCGGGGAAGAGGGGGTGGCAATTGTTCTAAGTGCTTTGTACTAATGAGCCCCTTAGTCCCCGCTCACCACCTAGGAAACAAGGCACAGGGGATTTTTTGGTGACTTGTCTGATAGCACATTGGGAATTTGGAGGCATATTCTTCACCCTGCCTACGCCTACCCCTGTGGATTTCCCTTTATGAGAGCAATGTTCATATATCCCACCCCACGTAGGCAGGGACCTTAAGAAGACCAGTCCAAAGTCCCAGCCCCCAGGTCTCATGGCTGCCTCCCACCCGCCACCTTCAGAATTCCTGCTTCTGCCAATCAGGACTCTAGCGACTTTCTCGGAGCTGCCCTAGTGACTAACAGGGCCCTGGCCCTGGTTTACTTGAAAAGCCCTCAGAGATCATCCTGTCCCCAAGTTTCCTCCACAGTACTGCTTCTCTTGTTTTCTAGCTGTGAAACAGGACTAAGTTAGCTTCTGGGACAGGTCTACACGTCCCACACCCCACCAGCAGGGGGTTGGGGATGCCAGGTGCCAGGATCACCTGAATCTTGTTAAGCAGGGCTGCAGGGCCCTGGGGATGCTGCTACTTCATGGGCTCTGGTGGAGCTAGGGCAGGGCTCACTGGGGTTATTTTGGCTTCTCATTCCTCCACTGTAATGATGCCATCACAGGGTTCTCAACACTGGAAAAGGCTGCCGTGGAAATGGAGAAATAGTGAAACTGCTGTAAGCACTTCAGACTATAGCCAGCCATCCTGGAACTAGAGCCACCCACCTGCCTTTCAGTAGCTGAGCTCATGGTGTACCCCAGTGTGGTCACCAGGATCTGCTGTGTCCCTGGGGCTCTGCTGCAGCCTCTGGCTGTTGCTCTGCCTGTAGCTCTATCTATCATAGCTCTGCCCTTTTCTGTGGCCCCCATTTCTCTAAGGCTGGCCTGGCCTACTTTACCTCCAGTCACCTCCTCTCCATCCTCCATGGTTCTCTTGCCTTTTGGCCTCCACAATTTCCATCTTGTAAAACCTTAGCGTGTGGCTCTTCCTACACCAGGCACTACCATCCCCTTCTTCCCTCAGGGATCAAGGGATAGTGCTTTTTGTTGTTGTTGTTGTTTTATTCCTCTGACTATCCCCTCCCCCACTCATTCTGTCTACTGTCTCCTCCTCTTTCCCATCCACACAGTCTGACCCATGTCTTGCTATGCCGATACCCTGGCTATGATTTCCAGAGCTTCTGGTGTGGTCCCTAGGCCGCTCCTAAGCACCGCCTGCAGGGTGTTCCCTCATGGAAGCCTTGTGGGGCTCCTCATCCTAGGCACATGTATGGCCATGCTCCTGACTTTCCCCCACATCTGGTTTTCCTCTATGGTTCTGTATTTTGAGCATTGGCGCCATCCCCTCAGATGTCCAAGCCACAGATTTTTTTTTTTTTTTTTCTGGAAAGAGTTAGAGTGCAAATATTTCTGGCTTTGCCAGCCATATGGTCTTTGTCACAACTACTCAACTCTTGTTGGAGTGTGAAAACAGTCAGAAACAATGTGTAAACAAGAGAGCCTGGCTGGGTGCCAATAAAACTTTATGAAAGCAGACAGCAAACACATTTGGCCCATAGGCCAGTATGCTGACTCTTGTCTCCACCTAGTACTTGAGCAGCAGTTCTGTTTCTACTGCTACTAAAATACTCTCCTGTCCTTGAGCCCTGGAGGACTCCCTCTGCGTGTCTACTTTGGATTTGTGGCTCTCAGGAAGGCCTCGGTTTACCTGACTTTAAGACTTAGTTCTATCTCAACTTCCAGGAAGGCCCCTGGGTACCCCTGCCTCACTTGGTGGGTTTTGACCCTTTCCTCACATGGTACTCTGCTCCATGCTTTGGTGGCCTCCTCCATCTCTATGCTTAGCAAGCTGCCTCCATATTCAACCCGGTGGGCCGCAAGTGTCACACTTGCAGTGGGCATTCTGACCTGTGTCTTCAGGAGACCCTAGGCTCAGGTAGAATTCTCGCTGGCTGTGGGATCATCAGTATCTGATGTGTCGTAGGTCTTCAGTCAGGTTGAGTCTGAACTGGTGATTGTTTTGTGAAGGTGCAGTGGGTGACATGAGGAGGACTCAGCAGCGAGGGACTGGTACAGTGCGGGCACAGGAATGGTCACCATTCTTATGGAATGAGGAACAGGATGAGCTAGAGTTCTTCTGTGGCATTTCCTATCCCTGTCAGTGATATGCGCAGGGCTGTCATGACACTGAGCCTCGTCAGGGTCAGAAGCTGCCCAGCCTGGCCTTTAGCTGCTGCCCTGTGGGTGTTGGGGCTTCTGTGCAGGCTGTGTAGTTCCTGGCTGACATCTCTCACCAGCATCAGCGTCCTTCCACCAGTGTTGGTATTTGGCCCTGTAGGAGTGTAGGCTGTTTCCCCTCCAACCTTGTGCTTCTCCTCACAGGAGAACCTTATGCTTTCGATCCTGCCAAAGCATGTGGCTGACGAGATGTTGAAGGACATGAAGAAGGATGAGAGCCAGAAGGACCAGCAGCAGTTCAACACCATGTACATGTACCGGCATGAGAATGTCAGGTACAATGGCTTGGAGGCCCCGACAGCAGGATTGGTCAGGGAGGCGCACTGCTTCATGGGATCTACCAAGTACTATGGGGTCTGGTTTTCCCAAGGACTAGAGGCAAGGCCACCCCACAGTGCGTGTCTTGACTCCCCTAAACTGTGGGAGGAGCCATATCAGTAGACGGCAGAATGAAAAATGTGCATTAGCCTGCCTGGTTTAACCTGTTGTTGAATAAATGTCACCCAGAAAAGGGGCACCTGTGAGGCTGCCTCACTATTCAGGACCAGCTCTGAGGCTAGAATCAAGGATCTTCAGCCAGGGGCAGGGTAGAGGCGGGGTGGTGGTCACCAGGCAGGTCCCAGGAGGGGAGAGGTTAAGCTTCAGTGTCCAGGCCGTGCCAGGGTCTCACTGCACTAGAGTTGAGTAAGAGCTTTCCCCGAGGGCAGGTGTGGGTGGTGGGGTCAGTCTGGAGTCTTACTGCCTACGGCCCCTCCTTTTGCAGCATCCTGTTTGCAGATATTGTGGGCTTTACCCAGTTGTCCTCCGCCTGCAGCGCCCAGGAGCTCGTAAAGCTACTCAATGAGCTTTTTGCCCGCTTTGACAAGCTGGCGGCTGTAAGTACCAAATGTGCCCACTCCTCTGCTGCCATGGTCTTCAACCCTCAGCCCTGTCCATGGCTCCTAGGCTTTCCCTGCCTGCCCCTCCCCCGCCTTCTGGGCCTTTCCTCCATGGCCAGGGGCCAGGAGCACACGCCATGCTCTGCCCTTTCAGAAATACCACCAGCTGAGGATCAAGATCCTGGGTGACTGTTACTACTGCATCTGCGGCCTGCCTGACTACCGGGAGGACCATGCCGTGTGCTCCATACTCATGGGGCTTGCCATGGTGGAGGCCATCTCGTAAGTGGGTGCCTCTGGGAGGGTGGGGTGGCCAGACGGCCAGCACCGTGTAGGATCTATTTGAGATATGGAATAAGGCTCAGTCCTGGTCCCGATTTCCAGCTGTGGCATCCCTTCCTCACAGCTTGGGGAAACAGCAAGACTCCATAGCTTCTGGGACATGTTTCTTCAGTATTTGGTTTCGGCATTTATTTGTTTTACTGGTGGGAGGTGGAGTTGGGAAATCCATCCCGGTACCTCCAAATGGGAGAACCTTCTCTGGTGGACTTCTCCCATCTCTTTTTCTTTCTGTTTTGTCTTTATGACCTCACTCCCTCCAGTCAGATCAGTACAGAGTTTGTCCCCCATGATACAATTAAGGGACTTCTGAGGTCACATGGTACAGGGGAGGGGTGGCAGCAGGTGCTGTGGGAACCTAGCCTCTGCTCTGGCTCAGGCTCTACTTCCACCTGTGGGCTTGGGGTTGGTGGACACCTGCCCTCTCACTTCTGTAACTTGTCGCTGCTCCGCGTGGTCCTGGAGGGGCCTGGGAAGGCAGTCCTCTGATGTGTGGTGGCTTGGGGAATCCACTAAGCGCTCAGTGAAAAAGGAAGCTTCAGGCGGCTTCTCCCCTCAGGGTCAGAGCCTGGGACATCCACGCATCCATCTCTGGGAAGCTGAGAATTCTTACTGTCTCCCAGGTTGAATCCCCTCTCCCGTCCCCTGCCTTCTTCCAGTCAGTAGATTAGGATTAGAAAGTTCAGCCTTCCTCCACAACACAACCCAGCAGGAAAACACAATGTGAGGACATGACCTCGCCAAGTATGGTTGAGGAGAAGGTCTGTATTGTAGCTATGAGGGAGAGAACAGCCAGAGGCCCCTGGAAGAGTCTAGGGCAGGGAGAAAAAGTAGTATACAGTACATTTCCAGGAGACTGGACTTAGCCATGGGTGGAGGATAGGAGTCCAGCCTGAAAACATAGACAGAGAGAGAGAGAGAGAGAGAGAGAGAGAGAGAGAGAGAGAGAGAGAGAGAGAGGTGGTGAGGGGGCCAATGAGAAGCTGGGGGTGGGGAGGGAAGCCCATGAGCTGGAGAAGTTTAGGATGCTAGCTAGCATGGACTCTGTAACAGATATTCTCAATGCCGAGAGAGCATGCAAGCCAGTATGCACTTTGGTGTGCTAATAAGCACCACAGTTAGCCATTTGTCTGAAGTTTCTTTTGGACCTGACCACAAATACCTGAATTTTGCGTTTGTTATTCCTGGAGTTCTCAGACAAGGAGCCTAGCTGCGGTTTGCATTCATGTCTGCATCTACCGAACACCACCTCTCTGTGCCTGGCAGGTATGTGCGGGAGAAGACCAAGACTGGCGTGGACATGCGTGTGGGGGTGCACACAGGCACTGTGCTAGGCGGTGTCCTAGGCCAGAAGCGTTGGCAGTATGACGTGTGGTCTACCGATGTCACTGTGGCTAACAAGATGGAGGCTGGTGGCATCCCAGGGTGAGTGCCCCTACCAAGGGGGTGGGTGTAAGGACCAAGGGAGGGGAACCACTCCATCTGCTCCCCAGGGCTATGGCCTAATGAGGGACAAGGGGCCCCCAAATTCTGTCCCTCCCAGGAGCAATGTTCCTACCTTCTGTTCCTATGATAAAACACTCTGCCCAAAAGCCACCTCCAGAAGAAAGGGTTTGTTTGCCTTATAGATCCAATTAATTATGAAGGGAAGTCAGAGTAGGGAGTGAAGCAGAAATGGAAGAAGTTTACTGTCTCAATTTCTTCCTCTCTCTCAGCTAGTTTTCTTGTATAGTTCAGAGCCACCCGCCTAGGAAAGGTGCTGCCCACAATGGGCTGGACCCTCCCACATCAATCATCAGTCAAGAAAAGTTCTTTCAGACACTGTCACAGGTCAATCTGATCTGGGGAATTCCTCAAACGAAACCCCCTATCACCTTGGGAATCCCTAGGTGACTCTAGGTTGTATGAAATTGACCAAAAGTACCTACTCAGCACAGCCAGCCTCTGGCCCTGTGGCTGGGACACTACCCTCAGGTGCCTGTCTCTGGCCAGGCTGCCCTCGGGACCTCATTAGAGTCAGTTCCTGTTCTCTCCTCAGTTACTATGTGGCTTATAGTCCCCTTGGCAGCAGGGGAGGCAAGGTAGAGAGAATGCAATTCTTGGAGTTAGAATTCAGATCTGGTATTGAAATCTGGTCTCTCATTTTCTATTTAAAAGACTCACTTTTATTATTTTCATTTATGTGTAGGTGCATGTGTCTGTGAGTGTGCATGCATGGTATGCAGGAGCCTGCAGAGACTAGAGGCACTGGACCCTCTGGAGCTGGAGTTAGAGGCAGTTGTGAACTGCCTGATGTAGGGGCTGGGAACCGAACTCCGGTCCTCTGGAAGAGCAGAAAGTGCTCTTAACAGCTGAGCCATCTCTCTAGCCCCTCATCTGATACTCTAAACAACCAGGAGAGAAAATTACATTCCTTTTCTAAGAATTCAACAGCTCTGGGACCAAAGCTCAGAGCAGTGGGTACCATGCTGCCCACCCAACTAGTTATTAGCAGGTCTGCTCCCTGGTCCCTGCCACACATACCTGGAATCACTGGTCCCAGCATCAGCCAGTGCCGTGTGGTCTGCTGTCTGTCTCCAGGGCAGGCAAGGGCTACCTCTGGTGCATTCTCAGGGTCTCTCACTGTACTGCAGGCGTGTGCACATCTCCCAGAGCACCATGGACTGCCTGAAAGGGGAGTTTGATGTAGAGCCTGGCGATGGGGGCAGTCGCTGTGACTGCATATGCCTGAAAGGGGAGTTTGATGTAGAGCCTGGCGATGGGGGCAGTCGCTGTAACTACCTAGATGAGAAGGGCATCGAAACCTACCTCATCATTGCCTCCAAGCCAGAGGTGAAGAAAACAGCTCAAAATGGCCTCAATGGCTCGGTGAGTCACCTGTCATATCCTAAGAGCAGAAAGTAGGAAAGAAAGAGATTTAGAAGAGAACAATTAGTCAAGTGTGGTGTTTTGCCTCTGCAATCCCAGCATGCAGGAGGCTGAGGCAGGAGTTCAAAGCCAGCTTGGGCTACACAGAAAGTTGAGGACCTGCTTGGGCTACATAAGCAAGTTCAAGGTCAGCCTGGGCTGACAGTAAGATCCCATCTCAGAAATAAAAATATATTAAAACAGAGTGGTAATTAAAGTTGGTTGGTGGTTGACCATAACAAGAGGTAGAATGGTGTGAAAAGTGAATCTAGGTCCCATGTCACTCAGCCTGGTGGTAGCTTCTTTCAGAAACTGGTTCTGAGGGGGAAAAGTGTCATGTGTGGCAAATTGGAGTTAAGAGGACTGTAGTATGCCCATGACAGTATCCAGAAGGGAGAGGCCACTGGAAATGTGGAAATGGCTAAGGCTACAGTAGTGAGTGGCTGGCCATAAAGGAAGAGGAGACCCAAGGCCAGGTAAGGTTTTCCAGTAGAAATGAAGAAGGAACAGGATAAAAACAGAGCTGTCCTGGGGGTCTGCCCTGGGTCTGGTCCTGGCATGGTGTCTGCTACATTTTCCTTTCTTTCGGCTTACCCTGCCCCAGCAGTGCTGGCCTGTTGACTGTCTTGACTCCTTGGATCAGCCTGCTGCTAGCCACTCAGTGTCCCTGTAATCCTCCCCACTCTTTTGATATTCCTTCAGGTTCTTTCTGAAATGGCATCTTCATTGTGACACCACCCACACACATACACACACGACCCTCTTTATGGCTGGACTTCCCACAGCCCCCATGCCCTTTCTTACTCCTTTCCATTTCTTATGACTGCTTATTTCTCTTACCTATTTTGCTGTTGACTGCTGTTCCTCATGAGAATGTGGGTTCTAAGATGCCAGGACTCAGCACATACTTATTAATTGGGGAGTGCACTGTTCCCCTTTACAGTGTTTGATTCACTCTATCAAGGACAAACACCCTAGTTGAAAGTTTGTAGAAGTTATTCAGACTTGACGTAGCCCTCACCCAAAGAGACCTTGGGGCACTGCCATAAAGTTAGTGTCTTAGAAATAGGATTTGGAACAGTTGGGTCTTTACTCTGTTTAGAAAACTATGCATAGCAATGGATATTAGGAAATGACAGCATTTAAAAATCGAATGTTGTAGAGGATGAAATGAGTGGTGAAATTTCTAGGTCAGCAAGACTTCTATAAATGTAGGAGGAAGTTTCTGGAACAATAATAGAACAGCCACAGGCTGGGGTAGGTAGTGTTCCGTGGCCCTGATGAGCTCTCTTTTCTGTGACAGGCCCTGCCAAATGGCGCACCGGCATCCTCCAAGCCCAGCTCCCCGGCCCTTATTGAGACCAAGGAGCCCAATGGGAGCGCCCATGCCAGTGGGTCCACATCAGAGGAGGCAGAAGAGCAGGAGGCCCAGGTGGGTGTGGGGTCAGGGCAGGGTTGGGGAGCAGTAGGTTGCTGTAGTGGGAACCCATGCTGGGAGGAGGATATTGGCCACCAGCTCAGGTCTAGTTCCTTTTCAGCAGGGTAAACAGTTACAGTAGCGAAGGGAGAATAATGTACCCAAAGGCACTCCCTGAAGCATTGTCTAGCTGGAGTGGCCCTGTCTTGTCGATTTAGGGTCTGTGATGATTCTGCAGGGTAGATGGGTGCCTGCTTGGGAGTGAGTTTGTATCTAGCCACTCCCCTCTCAGTAGGTCACACCCCATGAGTCTATGCACCGAAAACCTGGAAGTAAGGGTTGGCATGTTGCTCCAGAGGATGAGGAGACAACCCCAAATCGCCCAAGAAACCTGTCAGACATACCCACTGATGAAGGTGATCTCTGCCTTAGAGGTCTGATGTCTGGAAGCTGGTGGCCCCACTGCCAGTGTCCCTGTGAGAGGAGACAGAAGTTGTCCCCAAGGTTTTAGATGCTGTAGAAGGTAGACACTTTCATAGCAGCTGGCTTTTCCTTGAGCATCCATCCAGTTGTTTCTCCTTAGAATGATTTTCTTGGGCCTAGAGAGATGGCTTAGCGGTTAAGGGCAACGGCTGCTCTTCCAGAGGACCCAGGTTCAATTCCCAGTACCTACGTGGCAGCTAACAACTGCCTGTAACTCTAGTTCCAGGGATCTGACACCCTCACACAGATATATATGCAGGCAAAATACCCAATGCACATGAAATAAAAGTAAATTACATATTTAAAAGGCTCATGTGTATGTATAAATGTAAATATATATAATACATAATTCTCTTGATAGGAAGAGGACTCATAAACTATGTAGCTTGACTCTGACATGGATTAAGGAGCTCACGACTCTTCATGCCCTAATCATTAGTCAGTGTCACTCGTATCTAGCTTATGCTCCATAGAAAGAGACTCTTGGTGCCAGAGCAGGCCACCCACAGCATTTTACAGGGGAGAAAAATGGTCTAGAATCAGGCAACCAGCTTGAGTGCTGAGTTTCAACCAGGCGTCTCAGCTCTGGCTTCAAATGTATTTCAGACTAACATAGCTCTGCCAGGCCTGGGCTGTGACCACTGGTGCTGGTGGCTGTGTGACCCAACCTTGCCTTGTGTTTTGGAGTTCCACTCTCTTTCTTAAGAGGGGGGGATGGTAGCAGATGCCCCAGCTCTGCCAGCCTTTTCTCATTAGCTCACAGTGACTGATCCCCTGAGGGCTAGGGCTCGGATTATACATGGCCCCAAAGTCGGCCATTTGTAAGGATTCTTGTGGAACAGCCCCATCCAACAGCAAGATGTCCTAACCTAGGCCTTGTCTTACATTCTGAGTTGGCCCCAGAGCCAAGCTGCTGCTCCCCAAGGCACAGCCATCAGTGGACAGCTGCTGAAGAGCTTCTATTTGGGACCCAAGCAGACAACGGCAGGGAAGAACCTGGGGAAGGGTTTGGTCCCCTCCTTTTCATTAGTCTTTCTCACACCTTCACGTGTCCCATCTGTCCCACTGATTCTGCCTCCCTGGCTTACAGGCCGACAACCCCTCGTTCCCCAACCCCCGCCGCAGGCTGCGCCTTCAGGACCTGGCAGACCGTGTAGTAGATGCCTCTGAGGATGAGCATGAACTGAACCAGCTGCTCAACGAGGCCCTGCTGGAGCGGGAATCTGCCCAGGTGTAAGTGGCCACCACTGAGGAGAACCCAGCTGCCACCCCTCACTGGCCCTTACTCAGTGCTAGGGGCAGTCATCTGAAACAGGGCCCCATCCCAGCAATCACGGCAGGCATGACATGTGGGTCACAGGCTTGTTTCCATGGCAGGGTGAAGAAGAGAAATACATTCCTCCTAACCATGCGGTTCATGGACCCAGAGATGGAAACACGCTACTCGGTGGAGAAGGAGAAGCAGAGTGGGGCGGCCTTCAGCTGCTCCTGTGTGGTCCTCTTCTGCACGGCCATGGTGGAGATACTTATTGACCCCTGGTGAGGAGGTCCAGGGGGAGGATGACAGGCCAGGAGGGGGATCCAGGCAAGGAGTGGCGGCAGTGTGAGAGGCAGACACCTTTGGTCTTGTTTCTGTTCCTTGTCTCTTTCCCTGACCCCCACCCAGATTCCACAGCAGCAGCCAAGCCCAGAATGGGATCTCTGTAGGGCCAGGAAAGCTGGTGACAGGCCTGTCCAGGAGGATGGAGAACATGGCTAGACGGCTAATAGAGAGGTTTAGGGACAAGAGTGGGGTATTACCTCAGCTTTAGTCACAGAGCCTCACAGAGCCTCGGCTCATCTTTGTAAAACTAGATTTTAGGCTCCAGACACAAACTGACGTCAATGGGAGGTCCTCTGGGGTGAGGCAGGGTATTCCAAAGTCAGCTCAGCTGTGGAAGCCCTGCCTGAAGGTTCATTATCCCCTTCCAGGCCTCAGGGGACAAGTGAGCATCTCCCTTCTGCAGAGGCCTCTAGCAGCAATGTTGGTGGGGCCCTGCTTGGATTAGTTTGAGGAGCTGTCAGAATCCTTGGGACTTGGCTACAGCATCCAAGGTTCTGTAGGCAGGAACAGTGGCAGATCCCAGAAGGCATCCTGAGCACCAGTTTGCTCATCTACCGAGTGAGGAGAGAGACCCGGCCTGAACGGCTCTCAAGACTGTTGTGAGATGAGAGCCATTTGGTTTACAAATGCTGTTGGGTCTGGGGAATGTAGCAGGGAACAAGCTCTTGTGGAGCTTACACCTCATGGGGGTGGTGGTGGGAACCAGTATGAACACCTAGACAGGAAAGCTCATGTGCAGTTGTAATGAGTGTGTTGAGGGAGATGGGGTCTGGCAGAGAGTTTGATTGACAGGCTCTTGTAGGGTGGTCACAGACCTCACTGATAACGTGACATTTCAGCAGAGTCCTGAAGGGCTAGGGAGTGAGCCTTGTGGCCATCTGTGCAGGTACAGATGTGGCAGTGTGCCAGGCCTCTCAAGGCGTAGCAAGGGGACAGTGCTGATAGCGGGGTGTTGCAGGAGAGTGATGGGTTAGGGTAGAGAGCTGGGCTCAGTTCATACTCCTGGACACAGAGGCTGGAGGAAAGATACAAGTTGGGCACGGATCTGAGAAGGGGACTCCTCTGGCTGTGTCACAACAGGCTAATGTGCAAGAGTGGAACCTGAGGCCAGGCTAACAGATGATACTGACTGAGATACCAATGGTGACTTGGGCCAGGCAGAGTTAGAGGAGAGGATGAGGGGTTAGATGCTGAATTTTATTGATGGATGGCTGGATTCTGGAGACAGATGTTATGGAGTATGAAAGGGCAGAGTAAAGGACATCTCCAGTGCATTTCTTTCTTTCTTTTTTTATTTGAGCAATGGACAGGCTGCAATGTGTTAACCAAGACCAAGAATATAGGAGGAGGAAGCACACTAGAGCAGCAGAGAGCTGGAGTTTGAGTTACCTTTGTGGCACCGCCCTTGAGGCAGCTGAGTTGCATAGTCGGGCTCAGGGAGAGGCTGGGGGTTCAAATCTAAGAGCTACCCACACAGCACACTTGGGAGCACGAGGTTCACTGAGATCACGAAGGGTGAATGAGTGGGAGGGGAAGCCAGTTAAAGGCCCGGGTGTGGCGGCAAAAATCACAAGAGATCCCCCAAACCAAGTGAGAAAATGTAAGAGGTGACCCTGAGTTACATACTGAATTAGCAACCTGAGTTTCTGGGGCTCTTGGCAAGTGTTCTCCATGGAGGGGTGAAATGGGAATGGATTTAAGAGAAGGGTCCAGAGCAGACAGATTTCCCAGAGTGGAGGGAGAAATGGATGTGGGAAGAACTCGCTCTCTGGGCTGTGCAGTCAGAGGTCACGTTAGCAGCCTCGGGGCGACTATTCTTTCATCCCAGCTACGGGGCTTATGCTCATTCCTGAGACTCCTTCCCAGGCTATTTCCAGAGCATCTGTGACCCTCCTCCCCTCTGAAAAAGTCCCAGTGGACAGTTAGCAGCTAAAGGGTGGCACATTCCCAGGCCCTGCCCTCTGTTGGCGTTCCTCTCTGCTAGGCCTCTCATCTCGTTGCTGCTAGGCCAGCGACAGTAGTTCCCTGGTGTCACACAGAAGCTGCCAGTCACAGACTTGTGCTCAGCTGGCCGCTGTAGTCCACAGTCACATTCTCTCTGCCCCAGGCTGATGACAAACTACGTGACCTTCGTGGTTGGGGAGGTTCTCCTCTTGATCCTGACCATCTGCTCGCTGGCCGCCATCTTTCCCAGGGTAAGAGGCACTCTTCAGTTGAGTTCAGAACCTTCTAGGCTCTGCAGAGTGGCACTCTATAAGTGATGGAGTTCATTTGGGCATTTGTCCATCCATCCATCCACCCCCCATACCTCCACCATCCATTCTGTAGCCTGGGATCCTGTGGGCCATGACCAAGCATGGCTGTGAAGGGGAAGCCCTAAAGGCAGGTTGACTTCAACTGTGAAGGACCTTAAAGCCAGCTAAAGAGACTGAGACTTCTGCAGGCACCCGTGTGCCAGGCAGTTTTTAGTCAGAATAACAAGGGGAAAGCAATGTTTCAGGAAAATCAGTCTTAATAGGCTGCTTGCCAGGTAACCTGGGGAGTTAGATATACTGACCTGGAAAAGGGAGAGGGAGGCGGCTAGGCAGGTGGCTACCCCTGCATAGTGTCCCCTGCCCTGGCCTTGCCTCTGGTGCTGCCCCCACATTCTGGATGTGTCTGCCTCGCTAGGAGCTATGACTCTGGAGGCCTAGGGGTGTACACAAACCTCAGCACTTTATTTGCAAACTTAAATTCTCTCCCTCTCAGTTTTGGGGACTCACAAGCAAAGCATGGCCTTTTGGGGTTCTGGGACTAGAGTAGGGGAGCAGCCGGTCATGTCTTCAGGGCATACAGGTTAGGCTCAAGCCCTTGTTATCCCATTTCTTCTAGGCATTTCCTAAGAAGCTTGTGGCCTTCTCATCTTGGATTGACCGAACTCGCTGGGCCAGGAACACCTGGGCCATGTTATCCATCTTCATTCTGGTTATGGCCAATGTTGTGGACATGGTGAGCTTTTGCTTCCTTGTTGAAGGGAGCCTAAACCCAGGGGAGAAGGGCTGCACGCTGGCCACTCACCAGCCCTTCCTTTGCAGCATACATTTCAGGTGGATGAATCTGACACTGAACATCCCAGCCAGGAAGAGAGGGTCTTTGTGGGCATTCAGTGAACATCTGAGACTGACCTCATTCCTTGTAGCCCCTTCCCTCCCACAATCCAGTGTTCCCAGTTCTTGGCTAGGTGTAGCGATATCTGCAGTTACACATGAAGGAATTAAAGTTCAGAGAGGTTTGCTTGTTTTAGGTCACACAGTTAACAAAGCAAAAAAACTGAAGCACTTCTAGAGGCTGGGAGTCAGCGCAGCTGGTAAATTCCTTGGGACCTGAGTTTTATCCCCAGAATGCGTGTGAAAAAAGCCAGGCATGGGTTATACTTATAGGCCCAGTGACGGCGAGGTGAAGACAGACAGGAAGATCTTTGGGCTTCACTGGCTGGCCAGCTTAGTTCTTGAGTTGTATTGGGCCAGTGGGAGACCCTGTGTGGATGGTATATGAGGAGTGACAACAGGAGATTGTTCTGGCTTCTAGAAACATCCATCTTGTGTATGTTCACTGGCGCGCGCACACACACACACACACAACCAAGCTTGAGATGTCTTATCACAGGATTATGTGAGCATTCCTGGGGGGTGTTCCTTAAAGTATAGCCAATGTTGGGGACCCACTGGTCTGAGGAGGTGAGCCTATTTTATCTTACATCCCTAGAGGTGGCTGAGCAGGAACACAGCCTCACAGAGCCCATGTAGCTCTGGGGAGACAAGATCTTCTCTTCTCCTCAGTTCATGGAGAGCTAGGGTCCTGTTGAGAGGGAAGCTGTATGTCTTGTGAGGGAAAGGGGGCAGAAACTGTGACTGTTCCCACAGTTGTATGCATAGCTCTAATCTGGGTAATATGCTATGCAGTCGCTGAGTCCTTTTCTCAAGAATGTTTTTACTTAACAACTTGAGCTCAGGAGTAAAATTGGCCTAGAGACTTCTGGAAGTAACAGAAGTGAAAAGCTGTAGGTCTGCATGGTGTCCACCCTGTGGGATCAAGCCCCTGATCCTTTTTATCAGGAGACATGTGACACAGACACCTGGGTCTGGGGTCCTGTGGAAGGATGCATAGGGACCCTGCCCATCCAGGCACTGCACACAATCCTTACAAAGCCTTGTGGGCTGCAGGTTGCACAGAGGATTACTTAGCTTAGGGGCACATTTTCTGTTGACTATGGTGGGTCAGTAGGCTAACAAGTGAACAGGCTCCAGAAGGCAGGGCTACCCTGGTCGGTGGTAGAATAGCTGTCATCAGAGGTTCTAACTGACTACATAGCTCCTCTTGCAGCATGTGATGAGAAAAGCATGCTGGGCCAGGAGCCTGGAGATTGGGCTCCTGGGTCTCCTTTCACCGCTTGCTGATTGTTGGAGGGGTTTCTGTGCAGTAGGTAGGTATGAGGCTAACAATACACAGCGAATTTTCCTGAACACCAGATAAGACACACTGTAAGGCTCTTCATAGCAGTCACTATGTGTATATGCTTACTCTCCGGTAGACTTCCCCATCTCCTTGAGGGCACTGTGGAGGGAGCCAGCTGCATGACCACTGCCCCCACAGATCCCTCTGACCTGCTACTGACGCTTCCTTTCCCCCCATCTGTCGGCCTCCAGCTTAGCTGTCTCCAGTACTACATGGGACCTTACAATGTGACAGCCGGGATGGAGCTGGATGGCGGCTGTATGGAGAACCCCAAGTACTACAACTATGTGGCTGTGCTGTCCCTCATCGCCACCATCATGCTGGTGCAGGTCAGCCACATGGTGAAGTTGACGCTCATGCTGCTCGTCACGGGCGCAGTGACTGCCATCAACCTGTATGCCTGGAGTCCCGTCTTCGATGAATATGACCACAAGCGCTTTCAGGAACAGGAGTAAGATGAAGCCTGATGGAGGGTGTGCATGGTCTCCTTCCTCTCACGTCCCCCACCCTGCTCCTTTCAAGGTCATGTGCCAATGTTGAGGTGGCTTTCTACCTCAGGTTCATCAGAGAAATGAATGGGTAACAGGATTCGGGGCTTCTCACAAACAGGTGCTGGTAGCGGGGTGTGGTCCTTTCCATTCCAAAGAATAGATTTGGGACACTGAATGTTTGGGCTGTCAGCCTCCCACATCCAGATGTGGCCTGAATGTGCTGTTATCTGCTCAACAGCTCTCCTGTGGTGGCCTTAGAGAAGATGCAGGTGTTGTCTGCCCCTGGGCTCAATGGCACTGACAGGTAAGAGTCCCTGCATTTCCTCCTTGTCTGCATTCATCACCCTTCTCCTAGACAGCAAATGTAACGGGTGGCACTCCAGCACTTCACTCTTCCAAAGGCACATGGTCATAGGCAGTTAGAGGAGTTGCATGTTTCTCTGGGATTGCTGGACAGAGGCTGTATCCAGTGTGGACCTGGCCATCTGGGTCTCTCTTGCATGGAAGACAAGCTTGGAGAGCAGAGCTGTGTGGGTGGAGCTGAGGAAGAACGTTAAGTGGATGGCAGCTGGCAGGGAAATGAGGAAAGAGGGCTCAGTTGGAATTGAGACCTGGGTTCCTATCTGTGGCAGTTGGCATGTCCCTCAGGAGTGAGGCACAGATCTTTTTTTTCCTGAGTCTATCTTCTGAGAACATCGAAGTTCTCTAAGGTACATCTTGAAGTTTTAGATTTCTATGATTCAGAGTTGAACAGACCCTAAAATGAGATTTTTAAAAAAAGATTTACTTATTATGTATAGTGTTCTGCCTGCATGTATGCCTTTATGCTAGAGTAGAGTGCCACATCTCACTACAGATGGTTATGAGCCATCACATGGTTGCTAGGAATTGAACTCAGGACCTCTGGAAGAGCAACCAATGCTCTTAACCACTGAGCCTTCTGTCCAGCCCCTGAGACTTTTTTTTCAAGGGTGGTACTAATGGAGGATGAGTAGGAGACTTGAATATGGCCTTCATAAAATAAGTTTAAATGGCCAGGCAGTGGTGGTGCATGCCTTTAATCCCAGCACTTGGGAGGCAGAGGCAGGTGGATTCCTGTGAGTTTTAGACCAGCCTGGTCTACAGAGTGAGTTCCAGGATAGTCAGGACTACAGAGAAACCTGTCTCGATTGAGGGGAGGGGAGTCTAAAGCAAAACAAAACAAAAAATGCAAATTAAAGCCATAGCAATATATACCCTTACCAACATATACCCTTACCAATTTGGTACAATTTTCAAAACATGTCAAGTACAATAGCAACTCATATAATCTTGGTGGCGGTATACGCTTTTATAACCATTAGAAAACAACTTGGATTTGGTTGAGAATAGACCTATGTGGTTGGAGATACAGCTCAGTTGGTAGAACACTTGCCTAGCGCTGACAAAGCCTTGGGGTCTGTATGAACTGGAAGTGGTGGTGCACACTTGCAATTTAAGTAGAGGCAGGACGTCCGGAGTTCAAGGCCAGCCTAGGACACATGAGATCCTGTCTGAAAACAAAACCACTTAAAACCTATGACCCAGAACTCCACTTCTACATGCAGCTGGCTCCCTCCACAGTGCCCTCAAGGAGATGGGAAATTTACCGGAGAGTAAGCATATACACATAGTGACTGCTATGAAGAGCCTTACAGTGTGTCTTATCTGGTGTTCAGGAAAATTCGCTGTGTATTGTTAGCCTCATACCTACCTACTGTACAGAAACCCCTCCAACAATCAGCAAGCAGTGAAAGGAGACCCAGGAGCCCAATCTCCAGGCTCCTGGCCCAGCATGCTTTTCTCATCACATGTGCTACAAGAGCCAAACGGAATGGACTGTGGCCAGGGAAGCTGGGCTGCTGCTGAGTCAAAGCCCGGCAGCCCTATCCCTTACCGGGGGAGGGTCTCCTGACTATGACAGGGACTGAGGTGGTGGTGGTGGGACTTCTGCTGCCCACAGTGATGGCAGACAGCGTGAGCACTGTCATGTGTTCCTGTCTGTCCAGCAGGCCACCCCTGGTGCCTTCCAAGTACTCGATGACTGTGATGATGTTCGTCATGATGCTGAGCTTTTACTATTTCTCCCGCCACGTGAGTGCCACACACCTCTCCTCCTGCCTCCCACCAAGCTGCCCCAGGACTCTGGAGCAGTTCCTTCACCTACCATGGCTCATGGCAAGCCCTACCTCTGCCGGGCCCTGTTTTCTTCCTCACCCTCCTCCAGGGTGGGCACATGTCCCTTAGGCGGGGCTCACGGCCTCTGCACTTACCCTGACATGGGGCTCATTGCTGCACTAACCTTAGGAAGGTGTAGGCACTAAGGAAGTTTTTGTTTAGTAAAGATGAAGTATCCACACAAGGAGAATTAGCTTGGGTGCCCCCCAGTGGTTTACCGGGAAAGTACAGCCTCCCCAAACCACTTCATAAATGGAGCTGCTAGAGATCCCTCTCTGCCCCTCCCCTGGATCTGCAACTAAGTCTCAGGAGCACCCTACATATATGGAAGGCCTCTTGGATCTCCACTGTACCAAGAGGCCCAGGTCCTCATTGCAGCAGTGGGATGCTATTTTGTAGGTAACTCCTCTTGGCTCTTTTATCATTTAGCTATCTTCCTTCCCATTTTAGCATGTACAACATCCAAACCCCCATTATAAATCTTTCCATTGGACTGCTGGCCTTTGAGCACACCTCACCTAACTTGTGTCTGCAGGTGGAAAAACTGGCGCGAACGCTCTTCCTGTGGAAGATTGAGGTCCATGACCAGAAAGAACGTGTCTATGAGATGCGGCGATGGAATGAGGCCTTGGTCACCAACATGTTGCCTGAGCATGTTGCACGCCATTTCCTGGGGTCCAAGAAGAGAGATGAGGTAAGAGGATGGCACATGGAGCCTATTCTTTCTCCTGTGGATCCAGGTACTTTTTATAACTGGGGTTCAAGTTCAACTATGGTTGGACCTAACAAGAGACTTTCCCAGGGTCTCGTCTAAAGGGCTCTGCTGCATCTCTGGGACTCCATTTTAGAACCAGAGTGCCCCTTCTGTCAATAAGACTTCGCCCCAAGGTGGCTGACCATTCTGCTGTGCTTCCCTGGAGGTTTCTGTTGTTGGAAATGAAACACAATAAGCAACTTGGGGAGGAAAAGTTTTTTGTTTTTTTTTCATCTTACATGTCCAGGCAAACAGCCCATCACCAAGGGAAGTCAGGGCAGGAACCTGGAGGCCTGGAGGAACTGATACAAAAGCCATGGAGGAGTGCTCCTCATATCTTGTTTAGCCTGCTTTCTTAGAGCAAGGAAATGTACTACAGATTTACCCACAGGCCAATCTGGGGAGGGGCATTTTTTTCAATTGAGGTTCTCATTTCCCAAATGACTCAAGCTGTGTCAAGTTGGTATCAAACCAGCTAGCACACTGGACTGTTCCAAGGGCTAAGAAATTTTTTTATTTATAGTGCGAAGGAGCTTTTTTCTAATTATCCAAAGTTGGGTCCAACAAGTTGAGTGCACACATTATGTGTGAGGATGACAGACAGGTTTTCTGTATGCTACCCCATGAGGCAGCTGTCCCTTGCATGCTTGGGCCCCGTCTTTATTTATGTGTGTGTGGTATATATGTATGCATGCATATATGTATGCATAAGGATTCCACAGGGACTGTTTTTCTCTACTCCTTTGCCCTCTATATATGGATGGAGGGTCTCTTGTTGAACCTAGGCTCACTGTATTCTGATTGGCCAGCTTGCCTCTAACTCTGGTGCACTGAACTCTGGTCCTCACAATTGTGCGGCAAGTGCTTTACCTTAGCCTGGCCCCGCCTCTTTTTAGGAACTGTACAGTCAGTCTTACGACGAGATTGGAGTCATGTTTGCCTCCTTGCCCAACTTTGCTGACTTCTACACTGAGGAGAGCATCAACAATGGTGGTATCGAATGTCTACGATTCCTCAATGAGATCATCTCTGACTTTGACTCTGTGAGTGTCCTCCTGTCGTAGAGCTAACACCTTTATATCATATCCCAAGACACTGCACAAGTCAAAGGACCTAGTTCTGCTAAGCTGGCTTCATTTCCCGTAGAAGACTTTTATAGTCATTGGACTTGTGCAGCCACCCAGAACTGATGAGTCTGAGGGGTGAGACAGGATCTCGGGACAGCCCTGGAAGTTCAAGGGATTAAGGACTTCCCATCCCTCCTCCCTCAAACCCATATTAAACATTGACTGCTAACTGCACACCTTTCTAAGTGCTCTAACGTCTAAGAAGACTAACCGAGGTCACTAAGATCTTAGTGTTAAGGTTATGGAGATTTGAGTCAGACAATTGTATGCCAAGGTAGCATGGAATGATAAAAGCTGTTATAGTTAAGTGTCCTTTAGATGCGTTGTTGATCCTTGTAAACAGGCAAATGTGATGGTGAACTCACTCACCTTTCCTTGATTCTACTAATTCTGTTCTCAGCTCCTGGACAATCCCAAATTCCGGGTCATCACCAAGATCAAAACCATTGGCAGCACCTATATGGCAGCTTCAGGGGTCACCCCAGATGTCAACACCAATGGCTTTACAAGCTCCAGCAAGGTATTTCACTTGTTAGGTAACTAGCAAGGCAACAAATGTAGCAGCTGGAGAAGCAGCATTGTAAGAGACAAAGGGCTCATTCCCACAATTTTTAAGAACTCTATCAGTTTTGGAGCAGCAGAAACTCCTGGCGACTGGCCTTTTCTGAGCTCAAGTAGACCCGAGGAGTCTGCGTGATTTCCAGGCCAGAAAAGAAACTAAGGGGGTCTTGGGGACCAAGCACTGTTCTTATATCTCCATTTAGTTTTCCTTTACATCTCCACTCTCTGAATGAGCTGAGTAAGCTCAAGATGGCCCATCAAGTGCTTATGGCCTTGAGGAACCGGGAAAGGACCAGACTCAAACAGAGCTCTGTCTTGTTTAGTCAGTCACATGACAGAGGACAAACAAGACAGGGATCTTTCCTACCTTCTCGACCCAGTCATCACCCACCTTTCATAGATTCATGAATTCTGCAGTGGTGACATGCTGGCCCTAAAAAAGACTGCTAATTCCTTTTGGGGAGGGAAGAAAAGAAGGGTGTTAGCAGCCTGCTCCTTGTGTCTGTCCTGTAGCAGCTATGCCCAGGTGTTATGGTCATGGCCTGGATGGTTCTGACAATGTCATCATTTTCCACACAGGAGGAGAAGTCAGACAAGGAGCGCTGGCAGCACCTGGCCGACCTGGCCGACTTTGCATTAGCCATGAAGGATACGCTCACCAACATCAACAACCAGTCATTCAACAACTTCATGTTGCGCATAGGTAACTGCACCGGCAGCTCGGGGGACCTGGATGACCTTTAGTCCTGTTCTCTATGAGGAAACAGTCAAGCTAGACCCATTCCTAATTTCCACAAGGGCAGTCCAGCCTCCCTTCTGAGTCAGACACTGCAATAAGGCAGTTTTGAGGAGTGGCTCTGCTTTTGGGAGAGTTTATACAAGTTTGAAGTATTAGGGAGGCTATAGAGAAGCTGGCCGCTATAGTCCCGAGCATCAGCATAACACAGCTGTGCAGGACTTTTAGCAATGACTTTTGCTTTAAAAAGGCCACTTTTAATAAGGAATATAAGTGTTATATGATCAGGAGCCCTGTGGGGGCCAGGTGATCATCTATGAAAGAGAAATTGGTAGCTTCTGAGAGGCTAATGCAAGCTTGGCTTGTGGCCATGCTCCACTCTCTCTACCCCAGGCATGAACAAAGGCGGGGTTCTGGCTGGAGTCATTGGAGCCCGAAAACCACACTATGACATCTGGGGCAACACAGTCAATGTGGCCAGCAGGATGGAATCCACAGGGGTCATGGGCAACATCCAGGTACGTTCAGCACCAGACCTGAGCATGTGCTGAATGCAGGGCGTATAAGGAAAGAAGCTGGTGGGCTTTGCCATACATTGCTGACCCTTGTCTGTGGGCCACAGATCAAAGATGGCAGGCTGCAGGGCCAAGCCAAGTAGGCTGGGGCTTCTAGAGACTTAACAGAAGTGAGAAAAGGCTTTGGTCCATTTGTAACATTTAAGATAGGAGTTTTGAGTGAATAAAAGCCTGCTCTTTGGTACAAAGTTGACATGTTGCTCTACCAGCAACTGAAGTAACTTTGACCTGAAATGGTAATCTGATACCTGAATGTCATGTGGCTGACCATGGTTCTCACCCCATGTGGGGTGGGGGTAGAGCACTGTACCCCTGTATCTGCATACTACTGCAGCAGCAGTGCCATCTGGATCTGTCAGCCCTAACCACTCTACCTACCAGTCTCGGCTCCCTCTTCTCTAACCTTGTCTTTGTTCTCCACGTGCAGGTGGTAGAAGAAACGCAGGTCATCCTTCGAGAGTATGGCTTCCGCTTTGTGAGGCGAGGCCCCATCTTTGTGAAAGGGAAAGGGGAGCTCCTGACCTTTTTCTTGAAGGGGCGGGACAGGCCAGCTGCCTTCCCCAATGGCTCCTCTGTTACCCTGCCCCACCAAGTGGTGGACAACTCCTGAATGGCCTCTGGGCCTACAATGGTCCACATATCAGAAGGGAGATTCTTTTGGAAGCAAAGAAAGGCTTTTGGGAAAGGGCAAGTGACCAAGTCCTGGTGTTCCCAAATTGTTGAAGTTCACATTCCCATAGACTTAGGTTTCAGATTTCCTCCAGCCTTCCTGTGTGGATGTGAGCTCTGTGGATGGCTATTCCTACTCCTTGGTGTGCCTGTAGCGTCCCCAGAGTAGGGTCTTAGGCATAGTACCAGAACAGCCTTCCCAGAGCCTTTGTTCCACCCGACCCTTCACCCCTAGAGAGGCCGTGGCCACTGTGAGTGGGATGGCAGCGGAGGGCTCAGGGCAGAGAAAGCTCCCTGCCTGGCTGCAATCTACAGCAGTGCTTTTCACTGGAGAGGAGAGCCCCACTGGCGGCTGGCTGCCTCCTCCTGTCCAGTTAGGTCAGTGGCCCTTTTCCCGATGTTCCTGATAATCTTGAAAGGTTCTTTTGGAACCCTTGTCACCTTAGTCACGAGAGCAGAAAGTGCAATATTTCCTTTCCCCGGGGGGGGGGGGGGGCAGGGTCATTTCTGAAAGAAAAATATATCAACAGATCTTCTACATTTATATTTCTAACCTGTTAAAGACAGCCTTCCGATATTGCCTTGTCTTCTGAGCTCTTGCTACAGTCGCCTTTGCTACTGCTTCAACAGAGAATCTGCAGGTGTTGGTAAACAACAGGACTGTTTTATTAAAAGCTTTACTCAACTTGATGGTACTGTTATCGCAATTCTGTTACTGTGACATCTCAACCCCTACCACATGCCTAGAGGGCAAAAACTTGACAGAACCTTCTATTCTAAGCCTCTGTAGGATGACCCATGCTGGCTTGCCATCCTGTGTTCTTCCTGGAGTTTGATGGAACGCCCACACATGGAGATTTCTAGGAAGCAGCTAGTTTAGAGTGAAGCCCAAATGCTGGGCTGTGGAGTATAAAGATCTTATTTGGGACTAGCAGAGAAGGAACAGGAATTGTAATGGGAGAACTTGACCAGCAGATAGGTCTAAACAGATGTCAAGAAGTCCTAAGCCAAGGAACAATGCAGGCCCACCAGACACCCATGGTTAGGAAACGGTACTTTAAAGGAATCTAGGAAGGGAAGAGGACTGGAAGGAGACAAGACGGGAGGGTCAGTGATTTATGTACAGATTGTTAACAGTGCTTTCTCAAAGTGACTTTATGCATTCAGCTCTCAACCAAGATATTTTAGGAAACAAAATATTAAATACACAGAACCCCTAATTATAAAAAGTAATTTCTACCACCAAATAGTGGCCTAGAATACATGATCCCAAACCCAAGATTAAACACATTCCCTTATCTACAAAGCCCTATCATAGATTTACAGCTCGCACAAAAGCTACAGATGCTCACAAAATGTCTTTAGTTACCCCCAACATAGCTGATTTTTCAGCATGAATATATACATACGATACTTATAGGCTGGTATTTTAGAGGGAGAGCTGCTCTGGAGCACTGTACCAAGTGACCAGGCAATCAATGAGATCTATCCAAATCGCCTAGTGTCTACTCAACAAGCTCCTTGTCATTCCCATGAAGTGGGTGTCTAGTCTCATGACAAGGCTGGTATCCAGCCAAGCACTCTCCCTCCAAAGCTTTTGTTGACAGGTTCTGTTGGGGGTCCCTTCAGATGTATCCCATGTAGAAAGTTTTTCAGGAGACCAGGCTCAAATCCAGGATTTCAACTTGTTTTGAAAAGGAAGCAAACACCTGGTGCAGTGGCTTGGTTCGGAAGAGCATTTCATGGGATGCTCTGTGTTCTTCCCAACGAGCGGATGATGTTTCTGCCCCTAAAGGAAGAGATTTCTGTCAAGTTCATGAATCCAACTAGAGACTCAGAACCACATTGCTGCTCTTCTGGACCCATGTGACTTACAATGTAATTCTGAGAACAGAAACTTAGGAAAAATGGAGATTAGAACAGTCTGTGGGTGTGATACTTGTGACATCATCACAATACTGCTTTTTTTTTTTTTTTTTTTTTTTTAAATGCCTACCTGTGTCCGATTATGATGGTACTTCTACACAGGTGAAAACAAGTCTCCTGGCTAGCCCTGAAAAGCTGCCAGTTACAGAACATACTCTAGAGGACTAAGTGTATGCTAACTTCATCACAGACAACCCCAGGACTCTACCTTAGCTGTCCATCTTGAGGGTGAGGGAGGGCACACATCCATGAAAACAGTCTGTAAATTCAAAGGATTCTGGCCAATCGGGAAAGGCAATGAATAGGAAAAACTAAAATAACAATGCTTAACATCTCCAATGAAGAAAAACTGTAGGCACATTTTTTTTGTTATCTTGGTACATTTCTAGACTGAGAACAAATGGGGCTTTAAGTGGCCCACTTGATGTTACTCTACATACTTCACTCCATTTGCTTGAACTAGAGTATGCAGTTTCTTCAGTGAAGCATCGTTCCCCATACCTGGGCACATCACAGTGACACCTGTGGGAAGAGCTGCTGTGAGGTCCTCATACAGCAATGTGGCACTAAAGGAGAAGGTCTGGTGTCCCTGATCCACTTTATAGGTAAATGACAGCAAGTTGCACAGGGCATTTCTCTGCAAAGGTCCAGTGAGGAAGGCACTGAAGTCAGTCTACCAGGGTAAGGAACAATAAGAGGGTTAGCTGATTACTGCTCCAGAGGCAACTTCTCCATCCTGACAACACACACAACTTTGTCTCAAAGGGACAAAAGACCATCAAGAGTCTGGTGGGAAGTGTTATGGTGAAAACTTTGCCGCAGCCCCTGGCATCTATATACCCTTTGGAACCAGATGAAAAGTTTCTATACCCCAATAAGCCTCTTCACTGATACGGCAATCCAAATCAGACCAAATCAAACTGAATTAGAAAAAGCCCACATTTAATGGATACAATGCTCCCAGATGGTCTTGTAGCCCCCCAGAGAGGAGACCAGAAAGGGAGATGGGAAAAACCATGAGTTTGTTCTCTGGGGGACAGTTAGAGAGGTCTTGAGTATCTCTGGGGAGGGGTCATCATTTGGTGGGCTTTCTGAGATGCAGCAGGGTTTGGGTGTAACTTCCACCATAACATTCTAGACTTTTTGGGTATATGGATGTCAGGGACTGGAGTGAAGCTTCCGCCATAACAGGAAGCACTTAGTAAACGATCAGGCAACAGATAGAAGGAGATACTATTTCTGCCAGGAGTTCCATTGAGATTATCTTATATGGAAAGACATTTTCTTTAATTGATACCTGGGCAGAGGTAAAACTGCCCAGCTACAGAGTCACTTACTTCCTTTGTATTTATTTCCTGCCTATAGTTTCCACCCTTAGAAGACAGGCCAGAGTTATGGAGAAGACAAACTGCAGTCTCCTATGGTACTGGACGCACTTAGGGTCAGCACAGCATTGAGCACATAGCATCAGAGTCCAAAACCCTTGCTCAATTAACAGCATGGCAACTGTCTGTCTTGTGATAAAAATTTGAGGGCCACCAGCAGGAATGTGACCCTGTAACCAGGACCTGCCCTTCATCATTACTGAGAGCTGCAAAAGGGTGTGACATAAAGAGGCAACTTGCTTGAAGAGAAGAAACAAGAATTAGAAAGCAAGTGCACAAGCCGGTGTGGCACATGCCTGTCGTTGACACTGAAGCTAAGGGAGGAGGATTGTTCAAGTATGACGGTGGCCTGGCCTTCATAGTCAGTTCCAGACCAGCCTGGGCTACAGAGTAAACCCCTATTTCAAACCAACCAACCAACCGACCGACCGATCAAAGACAGAATAAAGGTAATGGACAAACTTCTGGCTCAGTGTTAGGAAACATAAGGGCTGGGGTGTGGCTTAGTGGAAAAGATAAATTTATATATAAATAATAAAATAAAACCAGCTCTATGTTGGCACACATTTGTAATTGCAGCATTTAGGAGGCAGAGATGAGTACACTGGCCCAAAGTTCAAGACCAGCATGGGTTGTACATCCAGCTAGGACTGAAGAACTCTGTCTCAAAAATATATGAGCCTTTTCTTTAAGAAAGCATGCTCCTAGCTGGGCAGTGGTAGCGCACACTTTTAATCCCAACACTCAGGAGACAGAGATAGGCAGATCTCTATCAGTTCAAGGTCAGCCTGGTCTACAAATCGAGTTCCAGGACAGCAAGAGCTGTTACACAGAAACCCTGTCTGAAAAAAGAAAAGCAGCTACATTGTCTTCCTGTGAAGTCTGTCTTGGGCATAAAATCGGACACAAAATCCCTACACAAATACCTCAAGTTGGTCCGTCTGGTACTTCCTCCCTGAGTAGGCATTGAGGTACTCGCAGAGACTGAAGAGGAAGCGCTGGATATCAGTCTGTAGGTATTCTGTGGCTATCCTTTCCAGAGGGATGAAGACTGGGATGGAATGGTGATGAATCCTGAGTGGTTTCTCCATGACAAGGTCTACAAAGTAGGAATCCAGTAGGTTCCCCTCAAAGGCAGTGCTGATGCACACACAGACTCCACGGCTGGTCAGCTTCCCACTGAGCCCTAGGTAAACAGTGAGACAACACTGCTCACATCAAAGGTTGTGGGTTGCTGTCTGGGCATTCTAGCAGCCTGCAGAAAGCCTGGTATATCCACACACAATGTGCATACGTGCTGGCCAAATGGATGGTATCAGACACTCACTCTGACTGGTTCACGTGAGCCTGAGTTGTTACAATTATGGAAAGAGGGGGAAGTGAAAAGGTACCCTAAATATCAAATACTGAGGGAAAAGTAAGAAAATTTTGTTTTATGTATTCTTTTTATTACTTGAGTTCTAATTATGATAGTCCCCATTTCTTCCCACAGTCCTCTGTGGCCCAGATGAAGAACAAATTCCTATGTATGCTGAAACAGAGATTTGAAGTTCAAACTTTGACCATTCCCATAACACAGGCAAGCAGTGAAGAAAGTTCTAGTAAAACCTTCCTGATACTGTGACCCTTTAATACTGCTCCTCATGTGTGGTCACCCCAGCCATAAAATTATTTTCATTGCTACTTCACGACTGTAATTTTGCTACTGTTTTGAATAGTAATATAAATATCTGATATGCAACCCCTTTACTGGACAACCCCCAAACCCCGGTTACCCCCAGCAAAGGAGTCATGATTCACAGGTTGAGAACCATTGCAGTAGAGGATCTAGAAAATGATATCATGAAAAGAAATAGCTTTGGCTAGCCACCAATCTTTTACTGTCTAAAGAGGCTGATCTTATAGGTAGATATAAAGCAGCATGCCAGCTTGTCTATGTATGGCAGTGTGTAGAACCAAGTCTAGCCGAATAATACAGCTAGCAACTAAGAACAAGTCATATGAGAAGGAAGGCCTACCTGTAAAACGATAGGCCTGTAGAATGTCTTTCACGTTTCCCCACTGCCTTGCCAGATCCTCCTGCTCACTGAGCTCCACTGTTCTGTTTGGGTCTTCATTGTCCAAAGATGCTTTAATCTACAGGACATGAAGCAAAGCTAATTGGTTACAACAGGGGTACCACAAAGTCTCAGCCACCATTTGATTGCATAAAAATAAGGGCAGCTTCTCTATTGTGTAAGGCATCCGTGATCACTCAGTTGGTGCTGTGACATACAGCAGAGGGAGATGATGTAGGGGTCATGATATAAGGAATTGGGAGTAGAAATGAACCAGGATTTTGATGGCAATGGAGAAAGAAGACTTCAGAGGAGCAAGAATAGGCTCGAACAAAGTCCAGGATGAGTGCAGGGTGGACAAGACAGATGCGTGGAAAGGCAAAGCTGGAAAAGCCTGGACTCAGACTTGCACTTGCAGCTACCTTTTCCTCAGATGGTAAGTGTGCAAGCTGAATGAACTACACAAATAAGCAAGCAGACAGAAAATGATCTGAAGGTATTAGAGAAAAACATGATTGAGAAGAAAAAAACCCCAACAACAAAATGCTTTTGAAGAAGGATTATACACAATGACTGATGGGGAGGAAGAGGCATTTTCTTCAGTGATGTAGCCATTGGTAAGGTGCCCATACTCCTGTAAACAAACCCCTACCCATTCCCTTGTATAAGCAACCAAATGAAAGGCACTGGGCCACCGCACTGAAAAAACGACAAAAACCATGAGAGTAGAAGAGGAACAGGTTGAGAAAAGGGACCTGGGTGGGGTGGGTATGGGTGGGGGACAAAGGGTAATGGGAGTACCACATACATATATGAAAATGTCATAATGAAACCCATTATAAGAAACAATATTAAGAAAAGATGGTTAGATGAAACAGGCATTTTTCATATTTATTAAAGCAAGCATGAAAGCAAAAACAAGGTTAGAAAATCAGTAAAGATCTGTTACAGGAAAACAAACACACAAACTAAAAAAACCACTATTCATAGGAACCCAGACATATATCAAAGAATGCCACTGATGAATTACTTGAAATGATAATGGTCACATTTTTCAATAAATGAAAAACTTCAAGTATATAAGCATTACCAAGCCAAATAATGATTACACCTGACCTCATTATAACATAAAACTGTCAAACACCAGAGAATATAAAGTTGGAGAAAAAAGAAACCACATTCAAACAAGTATTATCACCTGATAAGATTAATGCCTAATTTTGAAAACATGGGCCTGGAGATAACACATAACATCCTTAAAGTATAAACAAAAATGCAAAAATGATGTCTAAATGTAGACTCCAAACATAAGGTCAAAGCTATTTTTTTCCTCTCTCTCTCTCTCTCTCTCCTCTTCCTCTTTTGAGATGGGGTCGCTCTATCATGTGGCTCTGGCTGTCCTGGAACTCACTCTGGAGACCAGGCTGGCCTCAAACTCACAGAGATCCACCTGCCTCTGCCTCAAGTGCTGGGATTAAAGGCGTGCACCATATCTGGCCTTTAAATGTTACATCATTTATATGTATACAACATATAAAGCCTTTATATGTATACAACAAAACATCTAAAAGATAAATAAAACCACACACTTCAGGGGTCACCAAACTACAAACGGTTTGTCATGACAGTTGAGGCTGGTCCTGAACCTCCCAAGTGTTGGCATTACAAGGCCTGTGCTACCATGACTAGCAAGGTGCATCTTAAAAACTAGGTTTAGACCGGAAGCTGGGACGGGACCTTAGTTCTCTTTCCCATCTTGCAAGAGGGCAGGTGAAAACACCGAGAAGCCTGACACAAAAGAGAAAAAACCAGCAGTCAAGAAGGCTGGTGGTGATGCTGCTACAGCTGGTACAGCCAAAAAGGGTGGCCCTAAGTTTAAAAGGCCCAAGAAGGGGAAGTCCCATTGCAGCCTGAACCCTGTCCTGGTTAGAGGAATTGGCAAGTACTCCCGATCTGCTATGTATTCCAGAAAGGCCTCGTACAAAAGAAAACACTCAGCTGCAAAAACCAAGGTTGAAAAGAAGAAAAAGGAGGAGGTCCATGCTACTGTCACTAAACCGGTTGGTGGTGACAAAAATGGTGGTACTCGGGTGGTTAAGCTTCGAAAAATACCCAAGTGTTACCCTACTGAAGATGTTCCTCGGAAGCTGCTAAGCCATGGCAAGAAGCCCTTCAGTCAGCACGTAAGGAAGCTGCATGCCAGCATCACTCCGGGGACTGTCCTGATCATCCTCACCGGGCGCCACAGGGGCGCAGCTGGACAGCGGCTTGCTACTTGTGACAGGGCCTCTTGCCCTCAACAGAGTTTCTATGCAAAGAACACACCAGAAATTTGTCATCGCCACCTTTACAAAAGTTGTTAACAGCTAGATTAAAATCCCCACGCACCTGACTGATGCTTACACTTCAAGCAGCAGCAGCTGCGCAAGCCCAGGCACCAGGAGGGTGAGATCTTCACACAGAGAAGGAGAATTACGAGATTAGAGAGCAGCGCAATGCTGATCAGAAAACAGTGGACTCACAGCTTTTGCCAAAGATCAAAGCTGTTCCTCAGCTCCAGGGCTACCTGTGGTCTCAGTTCTCTCTGACAAACTGGATGTATCCTCACAAACTGGTTTTCTAAATTGCTATCAACCTCATTAAACAGCTTCATATGTTAAAAAATAAAATAAAAATTGGGTTTAACCAGCTCACACCATGCCCATTTTACACATCTTTCTTACAAACAAAGCAGAGGTACGTAGCTGCTACAGACATCACAGCCTGAAATACCTGCTCCTCGAAAAATAAGGCCAGCCATTAAACAGACCAATGGAACCAAATAATCTAGCTATGACCAAATGCCACACAACAAGACAAGTGATCTTTTCAAGATGTTCTGTTTGGGAGGCATACTGGGATGCAGTTGGGGGTAAGCATGAGCTATCTCCGAAAGATGAAACAAAGCATAAAATAACAGATGAAGATTTATGAACAAGAACACAAAGCACAAAGCTAAATTTCAAAACTGATCTCCACTTATATAGTGAATGGAAGGCAAGCCATAGTCTAAAGGAAAGATCTTAAACGCAAAATATATAAAGAAAAAAATCGTAGTCAATGAAATTTATTTCAAAGGCTGTAAGAATCTAACAGAGCACAGGCACAGCACAGTGCTGAAGGGAGATTGATTCTAGGACCCACTGCAGCTATCCAAATCTATGGATGCTCAAGTCCACTGCCTAAAAGACCAGAGTATTTGCCGATAGCCTCCCCTTCTTGTATACTTTAAATTACCTCTAGATTATCAATAACATGTAATTATGCAACATTATAAAAAAAGCTTAATTCTGCTCTTTAGAGAATGACAAGAAAAAAGTTAAATACAAATTAAGTCTAGAGCAAGATACTAATACACTCCCACCATAATGGCAAACTTTTAAAACTGATAATGCCACATCCTGGTAAAGTTACAAAACAACAGAAACTTCTGTAGCCACCACTGGGACCATAAAGCAGTCACATGCACTTTACAAGGTGGCAGTGCTCACTCAAGTTAATATGCAGGTTCCATGTCCTAGAATTTCTACCAAGGCTTGTACCAAATAGGAAAGTATTGTGTTTTTAATGAAACAAAAGCAACAAGAATATCACAGCAGCAATCTTCATAAAGAACCCAAAGTGAAACAACTCAAATGGTCCACATGGCGTCAACAGTGGAATAGGTAAATTATAATAGTCGTAAGACAGAACTGTGGCCCAGCAGTGGTGGTGCACTCCTTTAATCCTAGCACTCAGAAGACTGAGGCAGGCAGATCTCCGTGAGTTCAAGGCCAGCCTGATCTACAGCGTGAGTTCCAGGATAGCCAGGGCTACACAGAGAAACCCTGTTTCGGAACAAAAAAGAAAAAAAAAAAGAAGGCAGAACTGCTGCACAGTGATGAAGGTATGAATCAATGAGTTTATATCCTACAGCTGTACAAAATTCAAGCCAGGTGTGGTGACTCACACTCTGAGGCAGGAAGACTGCATGATCTGGTACAGTCTGGGTTAGAGGGAATTCAAGCCTGGTTAAGTAGCAAGATGCAAAACATTGTTCAAAATCAGGTAAATGTCATTCTTGGTAACAGAAACTGGACCTGTGGTTACACGGAAGGAAAGTCGGAAAGTTATGATTAACAGGAGGCAAAAGGAGAATTCTGGAGTGCTGGTAATATCCTATGCTTTCACTTCTGGTAGAAACCTGGCTGTATTCCATTAAGATGCACACTACATATACTTTACTTCAATAAAAAGCAAATTAAAGAGGGAGAAAAGAGTGGGAAGGGAGGGAAGGAACCCGCAGGAAGGCCAGCTTTAACTGAGTGGTTACTGGCAGGGGAACAATGTGAGATTTGTAGGATTTAGTGGAAAAATGGAAATATTAAGAAAGCCCCAAACTACTGCAATTATCCTAGGATCCAACCCACCTGGTAAGTGGGTTTTCCACATATGTTGGTAACACTTCATGTACGGCAGGGGAGAAGTACAAAGACAGAAGAGAGGACCATTGGACAGATCTGCTGAATGGACCTCAGCTAGAGTAGAAACCACAAAGAAGGAATGGCCAATACTCACTGTGAAATTCTGAGACTGGGTGACAGAACACTGGCACCAATGGCAAAATCATAAATGACTCAGATCTGCTGAGGTTGAGGTGCCAGGTCAGGTGTCTATGAGAGAAGGCTGAGGCCTGCCTTGCCTTACCATCTGACAACTGTTAGTCACAATTCCCAGCTACATTTCCACAGGTCTGATGATCTGAAGGGGATCAAAGATCTGATGATCTGAAGGGGATCAAAGACTTGAAACCAATCCAGTATGATCCCAAGTAAAACAGGTGATCCAGGTTTATGGATTCCCAAATCACAGCTGATCTTCACACCCCAGGAGAGCCAACAAGGCTTTCCCACTTACTCTGGCTTGCCGTCGCTTCACTTCAGCCCTCAGCTTATCTCGCTGTCTCCGAAGTTCATGAATCTTGGTTCTCTGAGAACTTTCCTTTGTGTGAACTGTCAGCTCCTCAGACTTTCTACTGGATCTGTTCATCTGAGCCTCTAGTCTTTCCAGGTAAGCTAAAACACCTAAGTGGGGGTGGGGATGGGGAGAAGAACTTCATGATTGGACATGGTTTAACTTCGGCATAACACACACTCCAAGAAGTAAGTTTGCTGTGCTAAAAGCTGACCAAAAGCAGCAACTTGGTGAGAAAAGGGGTATTGTCCTCTTACAGGTCACAGTCCATCATGAAGAGGAGTCAGAGAAACTTATGACAGGAACTGAAGCAGATGGAGGAATGCTGCTAGCTTGCTTTCTCAGTTTGCTTACTTATACAACCCAGAACCATCTGCTCCAAGGGTGGCAGGAACTCAGGGTAGGAACTGAAGCAGAGACCATGGAGGACATACTTCCTGATTTATGAAAGCTGCTCAGCAGGCTTTCATATACAGTCCAGGACCACCCACAGTGTGTTAGGCTCTCCTCCCTCTATTAGCAATCAAAAAAATGTCCTAAGAAATGTTCACAGATCAATCTGATGAGGTAATTCCTCACGAGGTTCCCTCTTCACAGGTGTATCAAGTTGACAACCAAAAACAGGCATCACAATAGATGTCTCATTAATCTAGGATTTGGGACAACAAAATTGTTAAATAGGTGAATTGAGGGCACATTTTCTTATTTATTGAGACGGTCCTCTCCTACATGGCTGGCCTTGAACTCACAGAGATCCACCTGCCTCTACCCAGAATGTTGGGATTAAAGGCATGCGCCACCACACCTAGCTCTACTGTAAATTTATAAACACCAGAGGGCCAAACAACCAAACCAGAGACCATCAACCTCTCCGTTGAACATTGGTAAAAGCACTCCCGAATCAGGACACTTATTTAAAGAGAACAGGAAACTCGGATCTGTCCATTGCTTGCTTTGTAGGCAGCAGCACCTCATCTAAGCCTGTTTATCACAGAAGCACATCTATAGGGTAGAAAAGGACAACTCTCAATAGCTTTACCACAAGCCAAATGAAATCTCTCCATAGAAGTCCTATGCTTCTAACATTAAGACTCCATGTAACTAGGTTCCTAAAGCAGATCCATTATCTACTTTGCAGGGCTCACAAGAACACACACACATCTGTTCACTTGTCTTGGGACAGCCCAGGCTTAGCTAATTCACCTACGAGCGAAGTCAAAACTATACATCAATTACTAGTGTATTTATTTATCAAGAAACACACAATATGCAGCACCACCATATTTCACTGGTATTTCTTATGGTTACTCTTCTTTTACTTCCCTGAGAGCCTCAACACTTTTCTCTGCTGTATCCAGTTCCTCTCCATGCTCATACAACAACATAGCCACAATAACCAAGAAGAGGGAGAAAACCCACTTGGCACTAGCCAAATGTTTCAATCTTTTGGATGGAAGAGATGATAAGGGGACTGTAGAACTGTCCAGGCTGGGTCTGCTGATCATTCACAACTTTCACTTGGGACAGGTGTGCTGGCTCACAGAATAAATAAAGTGAAGGTTCACTGTGAGTTCCAGGCCAACTTGAGATACAAAGTATTTCAGTTCTAGGGCAGCAGGTTCTCAACCATCCTGATGTTGCTACAACAACAGTTCCTCATATTGGGGTGACCTCCCCTACCATAAAACTATTTTCATTGCTACTTCATAGTTGTTATTTTGCTACTGTTGTGAATCGTGATATAAATATTTTTGGAGACAGAGGTTTGTCAAAGGGATGGCGACCCATGGGTTCAGAACTACTATCTCGAGTATGGACTACATGCGACTGCAGCACAGCTTTAACACCAAGTCATCACACTTGTAATTTGAAGTAACAATTTCAACCCACATGTCGTTTATTACCTCAAGCTAAAATTTTAAAAATAAAAGGGGAGGGAGGAAAGAAGAAACTGAGGCAGGACTGTAATGTGTCCAAATCACAGTATTTATAAAGGCAGAACCCCAAATCAAACCCAAATCTAATCAACAGAGTTACTGCCCCACAGTGGCCTCTCCTGTGTAATACGGTCTGGAAAGAGTTCTCACTGTGGCGCAGGGAAGGGCAACCCTCTCGATACCTCCTTTGCACTCTCCGCCTTGACGCAATGTATTCGCAGACTCCATCTCCTCTTCAGCTTCTCAAGAGCTTTCTCCTACGAGGCTGGCCGGACAGGGCAAGTTGAACAAGGACCCAAACGTCCTTGACTGTGAACAGGAAAATCCATCTATTGCCACTTGCAGAATCCCTGACGGTCCCGGGATAGACAAGGTGCCTCCGCCCGCCTCCTTTGCCTTGTCAGATGCATCCACGCCTACCTCACCGCCGTGGTCACTCTGATGCTTCCCCCGAACAACCGAAGAAGCTGTGCAGGACTGCTAATCCCTCTACCACCGGGTCTTGCTTTCTATTCAGTGCGTCCTCACTCGGGATCCAGTTTAAGAATTCCCGCCTACGGCGTCTTCAAAAATGCAAACCACCGGCCCCAGCATGCTTTGCGCTTCCGCCGTACAAAAACATGGCGGCGCCCACGGCTCCACCCTAATCCCAGCATGCACCGCAGAGTCGGTCCGGCCATTCAGATCATCAAGAAGATGGCAGGCTCTGGCGCGGAGCCGCAGATCCTTGTACAGTACTTAGTGTTACGCAAGGATCTATCTCAGCCTCCTTTTTCCTGGCCCACGGGCGCACTGGTAGCGCAGGCTTGTCACGCCGCCACCGCAGCCTTGCACCTTCACCGAGACCATCCGTACACAGCGGCTTATCTCCAGGAGCTGGGGCGCATGCGCAAGGTGGTTCTCGAGGTGAGTCGTCGGGGCGTAACCGGAAGGAGGCTAAGGGATGGGTGTGCGGAGGCCGGAAGTAGGTCTACTCGGGCCCAAACCTTGACTTCCGGGAGTATATGCGGCGTGATTGTGGGAGGGTCTTTAAGAGATTGGGGGCATGGTGTGCCGCTTGAGCTGTCGCGCTGTGGACCTTCTTACCCCGCGCAGGGCATGACCGTGAAGAGCGGACATAGACCCCGCTGTCACAGGCGTCTCGGCACTGTTGGTGCACCAGAAACTGGTTGTTCACTTGCCCCTTAGATCCCTGGGAGGGCGGAGCTGGGGAAGCGTGGTCCTTCCTCTCTACCTGTGCCTAAAAGTGCCACTGCCTTAATAAACATGGTTAGTAAGGGAAATAGAGGCCATTTGTTAAGAAGGAGAAAGACACTCAGCCCGGAAAAGGCGTATATTTTTCAGCCTCGAGTCTCATGACCCTGTCATTTACGTGGCACCTGCTTCTCTAGAGAGACAGTTGTGCAGGAAAACACTGTCAAGGGGTGAGAGTGGATGAACAATGGCCAAAGGGACCATCGTGCCAACCTACATGTTTACATCGGCTTTTAGCTTTCTGACGAGTGTTTTCCTATCAATGAAGGTGACTCTTACGCCTATTGGATTAACTTGAATTTTTTTAAAAGGATACTTAAATTATGTGTATGTGTGTGGGTATATGCACATGGGTATGCTTGGAAGACAGAGATGGTGTAAAATCTTCTGGAGCTGTAGTTAAAGACAGTGTGAGCAATCTAGTGCGGGTACTGGGAACCAAACTCCGGTCCTGTAAGAGCAGTATTCCCTGGGACTGGGCCATCTTTTCCACCCCTGGACTGTCTCTTAAGGGTCAGCTCAGCAGTATAGTCTTTACCAGAAAGCCTGGTGCTAGATCAAGGAGACCCTCCCACTCCCCCACCCCAGTACAGTACTTCCTCCTACGGAATATGCATAAACGACACCCAAACACCTGTTTTTACAGAGAGAACCTTTATTAAGTGGGGAAGAAAAAGTGTCTGTTTTCTGTCTGAGTCAGAAAACAGCAGCAAATGACCTTGCAGATATAAATTTCTTGTTTGTTTGCTTTGGTTTTTTGAGACAGGGGTTTTTTGTGTAGTCTTGACTCTCCTAGAACTAACTGTAGACTAGGCTGACTTCTAACTCACAGACATCCGCCTGCCTCTGCCTCCCAAATACTGGGAATAAAGTTGTGTTTCCATCCAGGTCAAGGGTTAGGCCTTAGATCCTATTCTGCTGACCAAAAAGCATATAATGGAGTAGATTAAAAAGAATTAAAGGGTTGTCGAGATGGCTCATTGGGTAAAGACACGTGGGTAAAGGCACGTGCCACCAAGCCTGACAACCGGAGTTCCATCCCTGGACTCAACTGATGGAGAGAACCAAATCTTAAAAGTTATCCTCAGTGTACATGCACAATACAATATTCTAGTTTGCTATTTGCTGCTAGGATAAACACCATGACCAAAAAGCAACTTGGGAAGGAAAGGGTTTGTTCCATCTTTTTGATTTTTTTTCAAGACAGGGAGCTATGGAGTCTGTCCTGGAACTCACAGAGATCCACCTGCCTCCTTAGTGCTGGGATTAAAGGCATGTGCCAGCACCACCTATAGATTTGTTATGTCTTATAAGTTACACCCATCCTCTAGGGAAGCCAAAGCAGGAACCACAGGAGCACTGCTTTCTTGGCTTGCCTCCCTTACTTTCTCAGCTACCTTACACAGTTAAGGGCCACTTGCCTAGGGATAGTACTGCCCACAGTGGACTGAGCTCTCCTACATCAAATAGCTGAGATATGTTCTGCACCAACACTATACTTGGGCCTGAGGGGCTGAGAGAGCAAGAAGGAAGATACATGCAATCTTAGAAATCCTTCCACTAGTCAGCTGAATCAGTGCTGGCTGATGAGGGTGATCTGCTATAGGTGCCAGCTATAAGGAAACTAAAAACTACATAATTCAAGAGGAAAGAGAAAATTGCATTTTATTAACAGATTATTAAGCCTCCATCTCTGTCCCCTCCCAGCCACTTCTATAAGATCCTAAAGAGTGGGACTAGCAAACCAGGACGTGAAACTGCTATATAGTTCTTCTGTGGAGCCACCTCTCCAGTTTTCAGAGCCCCCTCTCCACCCTTTTGTGACCCTCTGACACTTCCAAAATGGGTCTTTCAGTCTGGGTTTTGTGTTCTGCAATTTGTAGGCTGCTGATGAGACCACCTTGAAGGAGCTGGCAGAGGCCCTGCAGCAGAAAAACATCGACCACATGCTATGGCTTGAGCAGCCAGAGAATATTGCCACATGCATCGCCCTCAGGCCATATCCCAAGGAAGAAGTGAGCCAATATTTGAAGAAGTTCCGATTGTTCAAATGACTGCTGTTCTGGTAGAATTGGATGTCAGTTGGGTCTGGGAGCCAAATGGCCTCCATCCGGATGATTATGGACTCCTTTTAATGTTGATGTGCTCTTCCCTTCCAGTTATAATGGTTTCTTAAGAGCCAGCCCAAATTCAAATTAAAGCCGTCATTAACTAGTACTTCCTATTAGCATTATTATCACCAAGTTCAGTCGAGGGAAGCTGATAAGCAGCATTATTATCTGTGGGTCATTGCTTAAACAGAAGATATTTTTTGTTAGGAATAATAGACCTCTTCCAATCACCCATGTTGTCTGCGTTCTTTACCTATCCTATCCCTTCCCACTTTCCAATCACTGATCTCCAGTCTCTAGGGTAGTAATAGAGTCTTCCTCTTCTTCCCCTCTTTTCTGTCTCATGAATTCAATTAAACACCATCACCTTCACAAAGTCTTACCAGCCAAAAACTGTCCCCTTCTCTAAACACGTATACATGACAGTACACTGTTCAAAATATTTCTGTAAACATTTGTACACAACAGAAATTGATCGAACATTTGTAAAGCAAAATTTATATGGAGTAATTTGTTCAGTAATTTGGAGTAATTTGTTACATGAGACATGTAATCCAGGAGTGGTGGCTCATGCCTGTAATCCCTGCACTTGAGAGGCTGGGGCAGGGGAAATGTGCTGAGTTCAAGGCCTTTCTATGCTACTGAGCAAGACTGTGACTCAAAAAAGCTGAAAACATTAAGGTAAGTGAATTGGTCAACTGCCTCTCCCTATAAAATGTGTGATAATTAACTTATGAAGGGAAAAGACTTGCTTTGGCTCGCAGTTTTTGATGTTCCAGGAGAAGATTTGGGCAGACTCATGGCATTAGGTGGCAATGGTAAGCAATGTGACAAAGCCTGCTCCCCAGCTAGAATCTCCAGCTTACTTCTGCTTGACCTGGAAAGCACCATTCCTCTCTCTCCAAGTCCCACCCTCTCAGAAAATCTCCAAGAAAGACGATTTCTGTATTCTTGGCAGCTATGGCAGCTCCTCTCCTGAAGTTGCCAGTAGCCCAAGACCCCACCTAAAGTGGTCAGCTTTTGATCATACTTGGGCACAAACCCAGCTTGTGGATGACACATCATCACCCCTTGCCTACAGGGTATATAAGCTCCCTGATTTAGTTCAGCCACATGACTTTCTCTGACCTGATCTCTGGGTTGAGAGGGCTCATCTGGAAGTTGCTTTCTTCAAATATACCTGTTATTTTGCTACTTCAATTCAGTTTGATCTGGCTGACTGCGTCGGCAGGGAAACCTACTACAGAGGTACAGAAAACCTATTAGAGAGAGAACAAAGAAGAGTCTGGGTTTCCCATTAGGCCCTGTCTCCTGAAGGCTGCACTGCCTTCCACTAGGGACAAGTACTTAGCATGGGGACCTCTGAGGCACATTTCCCTGATGGGTAGAGAATTCCAGGAGGAACTGGTAGAGTGCAGAGGGCAGTACCAGGCCCAGGAAGCCAAATGAAGCTCAGGGTAGGAAAACACACAGAGCAGCATAAATCCCTGAAACGGCTTTAGCGGTCGGGAGTGCACTGCAGAATCAGTAAAAACAGTTTAAAGAGCATAAGGGTGAAAATTAGATTATAGTTTACTGAGGCAAGAATGAGAGGGAAGATAAGCCCTGGAGGCTATTTCAGGAATTTCAAAGGAAAGAAAAGAAGGTAATGATTGAAGGGAGGCTGCAAACGTAAATTCTTGGGTTCCCATATGGGGAACTGTTTGAGCAAGATAATGGGTAAGGCTACACGGTAGCTCACAGCCAATTGAAGAGACTCTACCACCACCTTTTGGCCTCCATGGGCACAGCATATACACGGTACATATGCATATATGCATACATATACATAAAATGAATTTACACTTGATATTAGCCAAAAGGCTGAGAAACAATGTAAAGTGAATTTAAAAACTTTAAATTTAATTAATATTTATTTTATGTGTATGGGTATTGTCTGCATGTATGTTTGTGCGCCATGTGTATGTGTATGCCCACAGAGGCCAGAAGGGGACTTTTGATCCCCTGGAATTTCAGGTGTTAGTGAGCCACCATGCAGATGCTGGGAACCAAACTCAGGTCCTCTGGAAGAGCAGCCTGTGATCTTAGCTGCTGGGCCCTTTCTCCAGTCCCAAAGAGGGGGAAAAATTAGAGAAGACAATAGATATGGAGGAAGGTAAGAAGAAAAGAGATTAAAGTTACTAAATGAACTGATTTAAACAAGTCCAGAGAAAATGAGAAGAGATGGAGCACTGGATTACAGTGTAATGTAACTTAAATTGGGAGATAGCTCTTATATTTGGAGGCTCTTAAATTTGGCAAGCTACTCACCTTCCTTAAGCCAGTTCCCTCACCTGCAAAATAGTTGTGAATTCAGTGCATTGGGATGTACAGCACCTATAAGAGCCTGGGCACTTGATGCTGAGGCCAAAGCACAGGACACAGTGTGAAACATAGCTTCCAAGAGCTGCCCTGTTGCATGAGCCCAGTGTCTGATCCCGTCCTCCTGTTTAGAAGTGATGCTGCCCAGCATGTGTCAGATACTCTCTGAATGCTTTCCAAGTCGGAGGCTGGTTCCTGTGATAATGCAGCTTAAAGTACTTGGATTCTGAGTATTTTAGTAAAATGTGATAGAATCAGATATGAATGGATGTGTATAGACGGGAGATGGTCACTCAGGAAATGTCTAAAGTTCAGGGAGAGTACAAACTTCTCAAGAGGAGGGAAAAGCGGCAGATCTCTTTAGCAGTGTCAGTTTGGACCAGTGCTTCTCTGAGTGTGATCTGGAGCCTCAGGTCAGCATCACTGGTCACTTGTTAGAAATGCCAGTTCTGAAGACCCACTGGTGAGAACCTGGTACTGCCTGGAGGCAGCTGATTTTCTGGAAGCCCTTAGCTAAAAAGCTAAATAATGAATGTGTATGGTTGGGAATCAACCCATTGCTATGTGATAGACTTTTCCTGGGGAGAGGAAATGTATACACTTCCACTCACCTCAGATAGGAAGCCCAAGACAGACCAGTGCTGTGGAGTAATCCTTTTGTACACTGTAAATTTGCATTGCTCTCATTGTTAATAAAAGGCTGATTGGCCAATAGCTGAGCAGGAAGAGATAGGGCGAGACAGCCTGAGACAGAATGTTGGGTTGAGGAAGGGGAGAGTCAGAGGGGATGCCAGCCAGCTTCCAAGGACACAGGATGTGTATTAAATGAGGTAAAAGGTCATGAACTACATGGTAAAACATAGATAAGAGATATGGGTTAACTTACCTGTAAGAGTTAACTAGTAATGAGCCTGAGCTATCAACCAAGCATTTATAATTAATATAAGCCTCAGTGTTGTTACTTGGTTGCTGCTGGTGGGACAGAAAGTATGCCTATAGACCAAAGTATGGATACCACCAAAATCCAACTTGTATTGTGGTTACTTACAGGAATATTAGTAAGAGACTACTTACAGGGTCATAGATGACTCAAAAACAGATCACCAAAGCCCACAACAGCATGAGTGAGAGCTTACAAAAGCTGAAACTTGGAGCACTCTGCACAGTTGGCAGGCAGTACAGCAGGTTGGAGATTATTCCTTCCGGGCAGCTTGGCTGGTTTCTGCTTCTTTCAGGTGGCTTGATTGCCCGAGAGGATCTTTATTGTTTGCTTTTGAGAGGGAGGGGGCCTAGTGAATCCTGTCAGTTTCAGGAACTTCCTGAAGCTTGTTTGAGTTGATTACTTCCTTCTTAAGGAGCTTCCCTACAGGGTGGAATGTTTCAATCTCAGAACGAAACTGCTACACAACACCTATTCTGGGAACTGAGGATATAATATGGTCAGTTGACAGAATGCTTCTAGAATGCACCAAGCTCTGAGTTTGACTCCTAACACCATTAAAATAGGCATGGTGGTATAATACCACCATTATAGGCCTGTAATACCAGCACTCAAGAGATAAAGGCAGGATCAGAAGTTCCGGGTCATCTTGGCTACATAATGAGTTCAAGGCCAAACTGGGCTATAGTCTCAACCAAAAGCAACTACAACAAAAACCCAACAAACAACAATCAAACCTATTCTGTGTCCTTATAATATGCTCTCTGGAAGGAACCAATGTGGAGGAGGGCAGAGATCTGGCTGCAATCTCACTCTGTACCTAACACGCACGCACACACACACACACACACACACACACACACACACACACACGCACGCACACCCGATTAACATAAAGGACATATTGGCTAACAAGATATATCCTTGAAAAGACTCCTCTGCCCTGGTAAGCTTCTTACTTTTGATTAGCAAAGTGCTTCCATATGGCCTATCCTGGCAAGTCTGTGGTGCAGGTAGCCTTGCCCCAGCATTTACAAAAAAGAATCGACTTGCTTAAGACCAAAACCTAGCAGGAGCTGGGATTGAAACCTAGGCCTTCTGTCAGTTCTGTTTTTGTGTTTTCTCAATGCCATGTACTAATTTGGTCTTCTACTGTTGAGATACCAGTTAGCTGTTTTAGAAAGGGACTACAAGTTGTCCAAGCACAGAAACACTGTAGCTGCCTGGGAAATTGTTTAATTCACATTCACATTTAATTAATTCACATTCTCAAGGTCATATAAATTAGTACCTAGAGCTCATTTATCACAGATGAGCTGGCAATTGTGTTTCTGAACTTGTAAAGTGAGGATCAAAGCTAAGTCAGTGTTCTTTGTGGCACTGGGAGTGAAGAGGGCTCCCCTAGTGGGGAATGTGGGAAATAACTTCTACGTTTCATCCTGGCATAACTTCCTCATACGACTTTCTGTCCTGGGACATCTACTTCTTCCTGCTTCCTGGGTCTTGGCATAAGCATAGGGAGTTGCTGTTTTTATTGATGGGATGGTGTTAGTGTGGCAAAACAACTATGATTGCTTCACTGGTTTGAGCTGTGCTCTGAGGTCAAGCTCAGAACAGCTCCAGCCTCTTTTTCTAAGACGGACACAGATGGGCTCTGAAAGCGGTCTACTGTGGGATTTAGCCGTGGGGGGGAAAAAACCCAACAATGACACTCAAGTTCTGAACCTAGGTTCTTGGGAGGCAACAGAAAATGCAAACCAAGAAAACGTGAATCTACAGAGTTGATACTGTCATTAAAGTGGCTT